TTAAATACTAATACAATAAATCGTAATGGACATAAATACACACTTAAACATTTAGCTTCCAATAGGAACATATCAAAGCATATTACACATTAACTGTGATAATTATTTTCCATCCCCAAATATTCTTGGATTTATGGTAGTTATCAACCATTCAAAGAAAAAGGCAAGAAATAAGAAAAAAGGGAAATAAAGAAAATTCTTATTAAAAGGTAGTAGAATACAGATAGAAGTGACACGCAAATACAGTCTCTTTCTTGTTTCCATTTTTACATTTAATTTTCTTAGAGGAAGAAGACTTTCATCAGTGAATTTCTGTGGGAATGGTGCATAGTGGAATGTCTTCTAGCTGAAAATTACTAGAATGAGAGGGTACTACATTGTATCTTATTTCCTGTGCAATTCATGAAACTCACAAGTTTACATTACCTAAAGATAAATACTTACATGATGTAAATCAGATATTTTGAAAGTATTTTGTGTGTGTGTAACATCTTCCAACACAAAGGAGGCTATTTGTGTATTCCTTTATAACTGTACATCATTTTAAAATTTAAAGATAACTAAGAAGTGTAGGTATACAATAAAATTCCATCAGTAGTTGTTGTATGTCTTAGACATGAAAATGACATCAGCGGTATCAATAATCAACAGTTATGTAAGAAAATTGATCTCTAGGTGCATCCATTAATAACCTTCAGTATTCCTTATCTTTCTGAAGTACATTTGGTACTTGCCTACTGTCTGTCAGCCATTTCTGTTAGGGAGCTCAATTAAACCACAGACCACACCAGGCAGCCTGAAATAACACCTTATGTTGGAAGAAGCAGCAAGTACTTTTTTTCTTTAAGCAAGTCTCAGGGAAATAGTGTAAACACAGCTGCATACTCTTTGCACAGAACTCCCACTGACCACAATGGGAATTCCATGCAAGGGTTCACCAGGACAGTTAAAGTGCCCTGTCTCTTGAAGTTGGGAATATACATCATGGAAAGCTGCCTACTGAAACTCTACTCCGCTGCACTTTAAGGATTGCTCAACTGTCCTGAGTTCTGGTCTAAAAGTACCCCATTCTGTATGTGGTGCAATGAAATGCTGTCTCTGTACATTAGCAAACCAAATAGAGGGCCTGTGAAATCCAGTTTGACAGAGATTAGTTAGAGAAAATGCTTTTCCTAAGAGAACAGATTTAGGCTTGAGTCTTAACTTCTAGAAACTCTCAGATATTATCTAAAATCTCCCAAATCACCAGTTCCTGATTAAAAGTAACATTTTTTTAAAAGGGACTGTCAGATCAGTAACACAACTACACAGCATATTAGATTGGTACCCGATGCCATCTTAGGCTATACCTCTAGTTTTCTAATTACTGTGTACTGCAATTTAGGTGTGTCGTTGGTACCCTTGCAAACTCTAATTCCTCTAAACACAGGGGAAACAGTAAATTCCCAGAGGCCCTTCATATTTTTCCAGGAAGTGCTAACTTGAGAATACAGTTACATCACTACAGCACTGAGAATGTAGCTGGCTGGCTTTGCCATTTAATTCCCTGAAATGCGGACTGATCACAATGTCTGAGTGGATAATGTTACATTATCTGCCAATAAAACTGAGTAGCAGATGTATAGCTGTCCATTTCTACTTGAATTCAGCTACCACCACATTCAGTAGAATATATCATAACTTGTTAACGTAACATTGTTTAGATAGAATATTTTTCTGACTTTTAAAATCAAACTATTTTAGTTTAAGGTAGAAAACTTGGTGTTTAAGTGTAGAAGATAACAGAGAACCTACTCTTCAAAATGAATGTATTTCTTCATTCTTAAAGATTGCTTTTCAACTATCAATTTGACACCATCAGCTCAGGATTAAACAAAGACTGTGAATGGCTAGCCAACTACAGAAGCAGTTTCTCCTCCCTTGGTGTTCACACCTCAACTGCTAGAAGAGGGTCTCATACTCCCTGATTGAACTAACCTTGTTATCTCTAGCCTGACTCACTCTTGCTTGCATATTTATCCCTGCCTCTGGAAATTTCCACTACATGCATCTGACGAAGTGGGTATTTACCCACGAAAGCTCATGCTCCAATACGTCTGTTAGTCTATAAGGTGCCACAGGACTCTTTGCTGCTTTTCAACTATATTTGTCAATCCTCCTAGTGGTGTCAAGAAAGAGAATGTGACTAAGGTTTTAATCCTGCAAGCTGCTCTGTGTGAGTGAACCCTTGCTCCTTTGGGCTCTCTGTGTGTGCACAATGGACCACCCATGCAGAGCAACTTTCAGGATTAGTTTGTGTGATTTAAATAAGACACTCATATCATGAAACTCATGTTTGCCAGTCAGAGTCTTCCTATTGTAAATGTTACAAATTCAGTACAGAAATGTATACGCTCCCATATTTTAAATATGGGAATTAAAATACAAGGCCACATGACTCCCTGTGGATATATAAACTAATACCTATACTTCCTGAAATATATTCATTTTAAGTCACTCCATAAAATAGCACTTCTTAAAATACACTGGCTAAATCTGCAACTGGTATAATTCCACTGAAGTCAATGGAGTCATGACAGAGATTAATTTGGCTCAATGTTTCTAGAATTGACACTGTTGTTGACCTGTCAGCACTAGTCAAGTATTAGTAATGTCATTCTTAGAATTCAACTTTTTCCATAAAGGCTAAATCAAAATAGCCTCACTCAGTTGTGTGCAAGGTGAATCTTGGCCAGGTCTTTGGAAGTGGCGCTACTTGTACTAAGATTGTTCCTTTTGCTGTCCATGAAATGGGGAAAAACTAATACGTTAAAGTAATTATTTCAGTATCATTCTTTGGAGAAACTTTCCACATAACAAAATATCAATACTTTGGCATTTTTCAGGAATCAGTTTGATGCCAGGAATATTCCATGGAAAGCATTACAGGAAAGCACGTTTTAAAATGTTAGACATTCCTGATGATGGGCATATTATTGCAAGGTATCAAACAACACCTGAGAAATCAGGAAATAAATTTTGCATGTCTGAGCCTGAAAACAAGAATATAAAAGCATTGATATTTAAGTTTATACATAAGGGATTAAATGTACTGGGTCAACTTCTGCCCTCAGTTACATTTATAGATTCTAAGGCTAGAAGGGACCATTGTTATCATCTAGTCTGACTTTCTGTATAACACAGGCCATAGAAATTCCCCAAAATAATTCCTGGGGAATATATTTTAGAAAATCATCCAATCTTAATTTAAGAATGGTCAGTGATAGAGAATCCACTATGACCTTTTGTAAATTGTTCCAATGGTTACTCTTCCCAATAAAAATGTATGTCTTATTTCCAGTCTGAATTTGTCTAGTTTCAACTGCCGCATTGGATCATGTTATACCTTTCTCTGCTAGACCTGAAGAGTCCATTATTAAATATTTGTCCCCCATGTAGATACTTATAGACTGAAATCAAGTCACCCCTTAATCTTCTCTTTTTTAAGCTAAATAGATTGAGCTCCTTAAGTCTATCACTACAAGACATGTTTTCTAATCCCTTAATCATTCTTGTGGCTCTTCCCTGAACCCTCTCCAATTTAACAACATCTTTCTTGAATTGTGTGCATCAGAACTGTGCACAGTATTCCAGCAGCGGTCGTACCTGTGCCAAATACAGAGGTAAAATAGCCTCTCCACTCCTACTCAAGATTCCCCAGCTTATGCATCCCAGGATCACATTAGCTTTTTTGGCCACAGCATTGTACGGGGAGCTCATGTTCAGCTGATTATCCATTCATAAAACCCAAAGTCAATAGGGTTTCATGGGATTAATACCAATGAAAATTAAGTATTTACATCTAAGGTAGGAATATATAAGGCCAGAGCCCAGAAATTGTTAGGGCAGTTTTTGTACAGCTTTTCCAATGCAAAACTGCCCTAAAACTTGCAGATATGGTTCCTGGAGGATCTCTTCAGTTTGGTGGGATCCTTAGATGGAATAAGACCACTGTAATGGGTGTAGCTGGGGCAAAAGGGGTGTGATTGGTGCACCTTTATGCTCCAGTGATCTCCAGTTGCCAGAATGGCTCCTTTGCTGTGGGAATGGCCCAAGAGGAACTGGCCTGGTATAGTTTGGCCTAACATTCGGGGACCACTAATGTGACTTAAAGCGATTTTTGTATTCCTTTCCTGAGTTGTTCCAATGCTCTTCAACAATAGGATCTGGACATTAGTGTCAAACAGATTTGACACATGATATATTTACACAAAAGATTACATTATCTTTGATCTTTTAATAGATTTTGAGGTCAAATTCAGAGCTGGTGTAATTTAAGAACAGATTGGTAACTCAGGTGGAATTGCACCTGCTTACACACGCTTTGAGTTTGTCCTGTTATATTTAAAACTCCCCGATTCTAGACAATATCTTTTCCTAACCTTTAGTGCAGGATATCAGAAAAATGTCTTCAGTTAACCATATTCAGAGGACTGGAGAAACTTGCTGAAGATTAAATAATTGCAAACACACTAAAAAGACTTGACAGTGATAAAATTACAAAGGAATCCATGCAAATAATGTGTTGAACTTCAGCTATAGAAAAGATGTTAACTGAAAAAGAAGATGTGCTCCTAGCTTTCTTTTACTGTACAGAACAATGTTGTCACGTCTGACACAACCTGTTTTGTGCTGCTCCAGCAGGAGGAGCAGATAAGCCTTGACAACAAGACTTATTCTTCTGATTACTCCATACATTATTCAAAAATCAAGAATTCCCAACTGTACACAATATAAAGCCCCATCCTGAAATTAGATCCATACTTATGTCAGTGTGAGTCCCATTTAAACAAGTGGAGCTCCACATGAATGCAAGGGTCTGTCTGCATAGGACCAGTTATAGGGTTGCAGTGTAATGCTGTATCTTTATCATGTGGTTGTGATTACATGTATAAACCACTTGTGCTTTATTGTTGTGGCTTATAATATTAAAAGAAACACCTAAGAAAAACACTGCCATGTACAACACACCTTGTTGTTTATTATATATGTGTATAATATATACACAAATAAAAATGATCACCTGTAAATAATCATATTTGGAATGTGAAAGACAGAAAATGTAAACATTTTATTTGGCAGTTGTTGTCAAACAGGTGAATAAATAAATGGAAAAGTACATCTTAATACTTTTAGCAACAGATGCAGTTGCACGCATATTTACATATTGTGGATGCAAAGAACAGTTAACAATTTAATTTCTTTTTGTTAAAAAATGCAACTTCCAACACCACTAGACTTGACAATTAAAGATGAAGATACTAGTAATACTTGGTTCTAGCAATCTCAACTTTTAAAGGCATTCATCTGGAAGTAGGATAAGAGTCATCATGCATTTAGTTCATGTTGTCCACTTATGGTAGAAAGTCTGATGTAATCTCAGAATTATGAGTGTCATGCACTTAAGTCAACTATGACATGTTTATAAATTAATGTAGTTCCCTTAAAACTTGAAGCAAAGAGAAAATCGCGTTTATCAATGGAAACATGTGTGAAAGATCTTGGTGCCTGTATGTTTAATTCTTGAAACTTCACAAATTTTGCTTTTTCAGTATCCCAATAATAGACTTGAGTAAAAGAGTAATCACTTCCAAGAATGGCATATTGATAATTGTTTATCTGAAGAGGCTGGAATACCATTGACCCTCGGGATGGCATTCTTTGTAAATCCAGAAATGCTGAACCTCCCCATTTCATTACTTTGGAATCACCAATAAATCTTGTTAAACAAATGTACACATCCTCTTTCACTCTGAAGTGTTTCACTGCATACACATCCTCCATATCTTGGATCTCGAGACGCTTAACAAATTCAGTTGTTCCTTTGTTCCATTGGTATATTACAGGTCTTTGGGAACTACTAGACAGAATTAAATGAGGTTTGCCGGCTATTTCAAGATACTCCACATCAGTATCTCTGTACCACGCGTGCAGAGACTGATGGGAGTAAAATCCATTTCCATTCCATTTGTAAACCGTGGTAAAGCCAGCTTTTGAACTGTCTGCAACAACAAAATACCAGTCTTCTGCAATCCTGAAAGTTTCGATGTCATTGGGTTTTCGGATTTTAAGAATTTCAATATCTTGAATTTTTATAAACTTATTAGCAAAAATATCTCTTTTATAAATATGGGAGCCTCCAAAGAGCTGGGCAACAATGACATACAGCTGAGTCTCAATAATTATGGGCTTACACACAACAGTTGAAGTACCTACAAAAATAAAGATAAAGGACAATGTTAGCACTGCCTTTTAGATCAGGTAATGTAATGTTATTTGGCATGCGTTATTCATACCTGTAATGTTGTCATAATTCCTGAAAGACCCTTCTACATGGTCCCATTCAAGAAAGATGCATTTTCCAGTAAAAGGTTGGGCAATAACCACATGCTCATCGTTCATGTAGGAGAAAGTATCTACTGACAGAGACTGATATGGCAGGGATTCATAAACAGCAAATTCTGCAAAAGCGCACATAACATTTGATAATTAAAGGTAGCATTTCTTTCCACATGTATTTTTTCACCATATTAAAATAATGTCATGTTAATTGATACTGATTTATTTTTAAAAAATACATTTAATAAGTAGTCTAGTTTTCCTGCTAATAAGACAGAATTTTAAAGTCTGCTTATTTTTTCTGAACTGAAAAAGAAGGTTACCTGTTACAGTTATAGTCCAGATTCTGCAATTATTACACAGGCAAATCTCCCATTAAAGTCTGACTAAAAACTGTAGTAATAGATGCACAAAATGGTTCCTTTATCAGGCCTGAATCTGCAAGGAATTCCTGTTGACTCAGTGAGAGGTCCATAGGCAGACCACTTGCAGAATTGGACCCTTAATTAGAAAATATAGCCTTGATTTTAAAGTAATCAGGTGAAATAATTTGGAACACATTACCTGTAATAATACAATCAAATTCCTTTGGAGAGAGGCTATTGATTTTACGCTTCTTATATTCTGGTGGACTTTCGCAAAAAATGTCTTCAACTGTTGCATTGGTGCTACCCAGCCATTCCACTAACCATTTCAGTTTGCAGTCACAATTAAATGTGTTCCCTCTAAGATCCCTGTATAAACATAAACCACACACTGAAAATGATGAATTAGCTGTTGTTTTCCACAACATCACGGGACTAAAATAACAAGGACTTTTATAAAATGACTATTTCCTTGCTTTCTCTTCTGAGAATGCTGGACTTTCCTGAATTAATTTGTCCTGAACCAATTAAAAAAACCCAACCAACCAAAAACAACACAACAGTTTGTTAAAACTACTTGCAAAAACTTAAATAGTTTCAATTATACTAAGGAAATCAAGACAAACTTAGGTTGGGAATCAGTGGAAATATCTGCTCTTCCGTATTTTACTGATAACCATAAATTTACAGGTACTTAAATTCCTGTCCAATTTTTTGGCCCAAATCTTGGTTTTTTTTGTTTCTCATTGTTTAGCATTTCTGAACAAGAACATTATAGATGACACGGTGACAATTACTGTGACATGATAGATTAATTTAGTGGTCAGTGGACAGTTTGTCAGCTTTACCCCTTTTTCTTCTCTTCTTCCTCATTTAAACACGCTCATTTAGGTCACAAGGGATATAACCTGAACTCCTTTTTGCATTAAACTATGGCCTTTGGAAGATACTGAGTGCCTCTTACAAGACGCTGAGACCCTCAACTCACATTATGTAGGAGGTGTCAAATGCCTTGCAGGACTGGGTGCCCTGTGAAGAGCACCCAGTATATGTGGGTATATGGGGAACTATAGTGGCTGACTGGCGGTGTTCGAAGGCATTCTACATACACTTGGCAGACTCCAGAAGAAGGCCTCAGGGAGGATTGGAGAATGTGGATGAAGAACTATATTGAGGTATTGCAGAACTGCTGCTAACAGAAGCAGTGCAAAACCCCATGGTGCCTGTTGTCAGATTCTAGAAGGCATGCAGGGGTGAGGGAAGCAGCATGATCACTTGGCTATCTATGCCCTACATAGCCGTGGAGTGCCATTGGGCCAGCTCCAGGACTTACTAGTGCAGGGAACATTAGGTATCTATTGAGTCTAACGTCTGTGTGAGTGTACTTGGGGAGCTAGAATTTTGCACATTGTCTCTAATGGGACTCTTCCAGTGGAATGACTGCAAGATCTGTTCCAAACATATATTTCAAAAATATATCTTGTACTTTTATAAATGTTTAAGATACTTTGGTTTACAAATTTAAAATTTAAAACTAGTTTACATTTTGTTTTGGTTGCAATTTGAGTTAGCCAGGTGTAAAGTACTTGTACTGAGATTTTTAAATGATCATTGCATTTAAACATAGCCTCCTGTTAGATTATATTGGAAACCTGAAATGTTCTCATTCTCATCAAGTATTCTCCCTGCTTTCATATCATGTCCTCTTTGCATTATGAAGGATGTGTCTTTTTCTTATTTCAATGGCCATATATAAGTATCATATTATTGGGATTATGACCATACAAAATTCTTATTTTATTTTATCTATATATAAAATATTATTTGGGAAATATTATACAATATACAATTATACAATTATTGACAGTAATAAACATAAATCAAATCCACCCTTGCATCTACCACCTTCACCCACCAATGTGATAGGATCCTCCCACTGTCTACTGGCCTGAATGTCCACTGGGTCATGGGAGTGTCCTGTTACTAGATCTATCTTGTATATTTTACATCATTAAAGAAGTTAAAAGAGAGGTGAAAATTAATATACCCAAAATTCCAAATCAAGTACTTTACAATATCTTGCAGTCATCACCAATAGGTAATGGCCTGTTTTTTCTAACCATAGTGTCTGAAAATAAGAAATTGCTGATTTCTTACACATTTGTTAAAGAATCCAGCCCTTTGAATATGTCTTTTGGAAGTGTTTGGAGATTATTGTTTGCAAGGCTCCTGTAAAAGAAGATATATCAACTCATCAGATAATACATTTCTACAAATGCAATATTGTTTTTTATGGTAAAAACAATAATGTACTTCAATCCTTAGTTATACAAAATTACTTTAAAGAATATCTCATTTACCTTGTGACTTTTTCTTCTGCTAAGATATATTCACACTTCCTATTGCTCTCTTGCTTTTCAACATTCTTGTAGCATTTACAGTACTTCACTCAGGGTGATAGAAAATGTGATCATCTCTGGTATTTTGCCAACACCATTATTTTAAAATGATTAGCCATGACTGGACACACAAATGTCTTCCCTTCTGGATAGCCAGTGTGTTGTTATAATATTGCAATGTCCTGCCTCCATGTCCACTTTCTAGAAACTACAATCTATTTTAAACACTGAATCCATGATACTGTAAATAGCTCTCATTGGCTCATGGTTTCTGAAAATATCCAGTAACTAACATTTTTGGGAGTCAATAAGTTTATAAAACAGAAATTGGAGGTCAATATTGAGTTAAGCCTAAAAGTTTTCTTGCTTGGGTTAGTAAGGGATAAAAAATTATCTTACCAGCAAATAATAACAATACTATGGCTTTGATTGTCAAGAAAACTATCTTAAACTAAGAGAGTACCCAACAGTTTCAACTGGTAAAATTGGATAGAAGATGTGAACATACCTTTAAAATAGTTAATTCATTGTTTCCATCAGGTACACCCGTGTAAGCCCATGGATGATGCAAGGTTTTCACAAGTGTCACTGAGGGCATAACTAGAAGAGAATGTGGTGGTGTCTTTGTGAGTCATTGCTTAATTTGGTCAGCAAAACCTTTGTCACTGGTGAGGATGCATGAAAAGGAAAGAAGCTAGCATGATTTTCAGATTCCAGTTGGAATGTGTGGCACTGGGCATTAGAAATAAAAACTATTTTTACTTGTAAACTGTACACATCTGGCAAGGAGGCATTTAGATACAATAGCTCTGATGGAGCAAAGCACATAACCACATGTTTAAGGTTAAAGCTTAAAGGTTAATGTTTTTGTGTGTGAGTAATATGCCCTCTGTGGAACCATTTACATTTAGACCATAACTGGTTTATTGCAACTAATTTATAAACTCAAATTTGCCAGACATTTATGCATTTGCTTAACTTTATGCATTTGAGTAATTTGATATTAGTCAATGGAACTACTCACACGTGTAAAGTTAAGCACATATATGAACATGCAGAATCACAGCCTTATGTAATCTTTGATCACTGGATTATACCAAGCAGAGCACCATAATGGATACAGAGCTACCAAAAGTTCATCATTTTAATGGGAATCAGATTAACAGAAAAAAAATCTAGATTTATACATTGCGCAGATTCTTGGATGAAAGGTTGGCACTTTATATCTTCCATTATTAGAAAACATGCCATAAGATTTTATTATGTAACCTCTAGATGGTGCTCTTAGTAGTACCTGTGCAGAAAACACTTAGTTGGAAACGATGGATGCTAATGAGGAAGTAAATGTTCAGTCGTGTGTAATTATGTTTGAAGGCCCATATTTTAAACCTCAGAATGACATTTTGCTTTTCTGAAAAACTTCAAAAATGCCATCAAAATTACATCTTGTTCATGGAACTAATTTTCTACACTAAAATATTCTGCAATTTAGGGTTATGGCATTAAATGAGTCAGAAATGCAATTATACCACTCCTATGCTTTTAAAAAATATTCCACTCTGCAAAATGAATTGTCTTGAATAGATGCGACTACGCTACAGTGGGGACACATTCCAATTATTAGTTATTTGCATAAATGAAAAATACAGATATTTGGGTAATTTTACTGTATTGCAAAAATTCACTTGTGAAAAGGAAATGGGCGGAGTATACAGAACAAAGGTCATATTCTGCCATCACTTCATAGAACTCATCAGTATGCATAATTACCATGAATCTCTTTGATGTATTTTGCATGACAATAGTATTCTGCTCTTCCTCAAGTGGAGTGTGCCTCAGAGAATCTACTTGTTATGCTCAGTATGTGTCTATAGACACATTCTAGGAAAGGACAAGGATTGTACAAACAAGGATTAAAGTGGTCACATTCAGTAGTTTATGGGCCTGCTCCTGTAGTTATTTTGCCTGCAAAACTCTGTTGTGACAATTGGGCCTATAACTTTTTGCCTATTTGGGAATTATCCATGAAAAGTAGGTCAAGTTATTTTCAATAAAGAGTGTTATAAACTGGTGCAAGAAAATCAGACAGAAAGACTGAATGAGTCCAAACAAGAAAATGCAGGTCTGGAAATTAATGAACCAAAATTGGTGTGTCAAATATTAGCCCCAATTGGTGGACAAAATAATGAGGGGATAAACTATGTCACCCACATTCCACCCCCTTTTGGGGAGAGGAGTGTCTTTAAAATACTTAGAAAAATCTCATCTTGACTTGACTCAACGTGTCTCATCTCATCTTCCCTGACCCCAAGACAGAAGGAGCAGACCTGACCGAAGGATTTTCTTTCTGAGAGGAAGGTCATCAGGTGTTGCTCTTGTTTAAGCTCTCTCTCACCTATTTGTTGGATCCTGAAATCAACTATAGTGCACGCATCAGCACAGTGAGATGATGGTTTATCCAGCCCTGCCCTGTCTATGGAAAAAAGCGCCAACCCAGATGATGTCTTTGACCAGAATGTGAGCCTGGGACCACAGCAACAGTTGCTGTGGACGACACACGAGTCTAAGGCATCCATTCATAACAGAACACTGGTTCCAAGGACATCAACAAAAGCTATATTTCCCCCACCCTTTCTATCCTGCCTCTTCTCCACAGAAGTAAATACCTTTCACACGTCAGGACTGAGAGTAAAATTAACCCTTTCCTTTTCATCACAGAAAGGTTGCTGGTATAAGAGACTGATATTTTACCTCCAAAAGAAGAAAAACTTTAATAGCTTTTGATTGTTTTGCATAATTACTCAATTTCATTTTAGTATAAATGTTTCTTGTTCTTTCTTGTGTTTTAATCAATACATTTCCCGCTTTAGAATGAGTGCCTTTGGGTGTTTGCCAGAGAAACTAAGTAAACCAGGGTCTCTGTAGAAACCCCTTCCCACTCCCCAAACCCTTGTAACACTGTTTCAAGTGTTGGGCAGTGAAAGAGTTTATAACATCTTTTAACTCTTTTGGCCCTTGAGATCAATACGACATTTATTGGTGCTGTGACTCAAATCTCAAAGGGTTATACAAATGTGGCAATTGGATTGCTTGGCAAGCAACTGAATGTTTTCATAATTGGGTTTGGGAAGTAAAAGGTCATTAAAAAGATTAGGAGCACAAAGCATGAGAAACTGCATCTGTTTCACTCTCATTAATGTTTCAGGATTTTATTTTGATTTTGTTTCAAACACTTTATCCAAGTGCCTTGTTTTAATTGTGTTTCAACTTTTATTTTTTTCCTTTTCCTCTCATGATCCATGATTTTTAATTTTGCATTTTGATTTTGACCATGGTTGTATCCTTTGTTTTTTTTTTTGCCATTGTTGTTTCCTTTTTTTTTTTTTTTTTTTTTTTTTTTTTTTTTGAGGTCAGTAAATGCTTGTAAGTTAAAATGTTTTCCAAAAAGACCCCTCAAAAGAGCAAAGTTAGTA